ACTATTTTTTTTTTTTAATTTTGATGACACATTGAATGACACATAAACAAAGGATTTGTGTGCCTCTTGACGGACATTTTATTTTAAGTTTGACAGCATCTTGGATAGTCTAATAATTTTTATTTCCTATTAAACTATTATAACCATATAATACCTTGGTTACGATAATCATAAACAAGGTCTTAACTCCCAAGGGAGTTAAAGGATTTCATAAATCCCGCGCGGGAGTTAAGGATATCATAACTCCCAAGTAGTCTAGGAAAATAGTCGAAAAATACACGTATTGCAAAAAAAAAAAAATTCCTACCCAAATGAACTTTTCAGGGATGATAGAGGGCGGGTGGGTAATCATAAAACCGAAAATATCAAACATTCACCCCTCTGGCGTTTTGCGCTATAGGGGTTGAAAGTGCGCCATTGGCGATAACTTGGTACCTATTCACTTTACAAAAAAATGTTTCAAATAAAAGATGTGCAACATTATTTGATCTACAATGTTTATCTAAAGACTTTTTTGATTAAGGGCCGTCTGTGGTCATAAGGGCCGTTTGAAATTTTATAATGAAAATGAAAAATTTTAACCAACGTGAAAAAATTTTCTACAACTCATACAACATTTTTGCTCAATGAAGTTTTTACTCACTCCCTGCCGCTTTTCAATAGGGGTAGTTTAAAGTTTTTTTATTTTTTTACAAAAAAATTTTCTCAATAAAAGTTTTATAAGATGACATTTTCTACAATTTTTCCTAATCAACTTTTTTTGTAACTCACCCCCATTCAGCGGGGAGACACTTCCCTCGGGAAAATTTTAGTTTTTAGGGGTATATATTATTTTTTTTTTCTTTTCTCGTCTTTAGTGCATATAAAAAGTTGCAATTAACATTGTATTGAAAGGATTTTTTTTTCACCACCTTTTTGTTTTTAGGGGTAGTTCGCCTATTTTCAACTTTACAAAAAAAAATTATAAATAAAACTTGTTCATTTTATTATTTTCAGCAACTTTTCTTTATAACTTTTTTTTGTAAAGTTGAAAATAGGCGAACTACCCCTAAAAACAAAAAGGTGGTGGAAAAAAATCCTTTTAATAGAATGTTAATTGACCTTTTCAATTTAAAAACCTCTCTCTCTGGCATCAAACTGTCAGATGCCAAAAGAGTATGAAAACAATGGTTGACAGCCGTTGACAGTGGTTTGTAGACAAGACTTTTGAAAAAAACTATTACCTATTTCCTCGGTTTTTTCAAGGTTTTTTCCTAACAGTGGTGATTCTGTGTAGTGTGCCTTTTCATAAAAATACATCCTATTCACCGGCGGATGCGTCTTTCCATAAGTTTCTATCAAATTCTACATTTGTCAAAATTTGGATACACAAAATCAGAAAGGATACTCGCAAAAGAAAGAGAAATCTACGCACCATCAAGTATACAAAGTAATCCACGTTCAAGTTTAGTTTGCGGAAGCTGTTTGCTTCCAAAATATTCCATTACCGTCTTCATAGTGAAGTTCTGCGAAGGAAGCAGTGACTTTTCCCACATTTTCTTCTCAATTTCAAACCCTGCGCAAATGTTACCGATGGATCCACCATTTTATGTGGGTCATTGTCATTTTCCATTCACTTAATGAAGGTAGCTTACTCATTGGTGAAGTCACCGATTCGAATAAAAACGAGGGAATTGCTAGACACCCAATACACATTGACATTGACAAGCAAGCAAATGTTGGCGGGAAAATGAATGTTTTCATACTTATCGTCTATCTCTTTTAATTGAAAACGTCAATTGCACCTTTTTATATGCACTAAAGGCGAGAAAAGAAAAAATAAATTAATATATACCTCTAAAAACTAAAATTTCCCCGAGGGAAGTGTCCCCCAACTGAATGGGGGTGAGTTACAAAAAAAGTTGATTAGGAAAAATTGTAGAAAATGTCATTTTATGAAAATTTTTTTGTAAAAAAATAAAAAAACTTTAAACTACCCCTATTGAAAAACGGCAGGGGGTGAGTAAAAACTTCATAAAGCAAAAATGTTGTATGAGTTGTAGAAAATTTTTTCACGTTGGTTAAAATTTTTCATTCTCATTATAAAATTTAAAACGGCCCTTATGACCACAGACGGCCCTTAATCAAAAAAATCCTAAGATAAAAATTGTAGATCAAATAATGTTGCACATCTTTTATTTGAAACATTTTTTTGTAAAATCAATAGGTACCAAGTAATCGCCATTGGCGCACTTTCAACCCCTATAGCGCAAAACGCCAGAGGGGTGAATGTTTGATATTTTCGGTTTTATGATCACCCACCCTCCCCCTATCATCCCTGAAAAGTTCTTTTGGGTAGGATTTTTTTTTTTGAAAATCGACAATTTTCCTGGACTAAAGGGAGTTAAGGATTTCCATAACTCCCGCTTTTACCTTGAATAGGTGAAACTTTGACAAAAAATAGAAATTTTGGTTTATGGTTTATTCCTTTATAAAAATGGACAGTAAATTCAGTAGGAAATAAAATTATCTATGTACCACGGGAATTATTAGGTGTTAATACCCACGGGCAATTAGTGCCAACACACAAACTTTGCCCTGGGGTATTAACACCCTCATAATTCCCTTGATACAAAAATAACTATTAACATTAACCACACAAAATTTTGTCGCTGAAAAACCATCATGTTGGTTTTGTCAAAGTAGGAACAGGTAGGAGTTTTGTCAGTAGGAAACCGGCCGTTCCTATGACATTTTGACAGTGTAAAACACTCTAGTGAAATAGTCAGTTTAAAAAACACATTTCTAGAAATATGTAACTAGAATAGGGATATTTTATGTGATAATTTTGTTACTACTACATTGTTATACATATTTTATTATCGTTGTTGAAACTTTTAAAATGAAGTTTCTGTACATAAATAAATTGAAAGTTAATTGTATCATATTATCATTGAAGTAAGTAGGATTAGGTGATTTCTGTACATATTATTATATAAATTGATACCTAGCTATATGTATATTTCATTTGTAATGTTTATTGTACCTATAAACCTGGAAGCATTATAAATTTTAATAAACTCTTAAACAAAATTAAATGGTATATATGTTGTTATTTTTTTTTGTTTATAGTTATACGTTTCTTTTGAATGCATCAGATTTAAAATTATAATGTGAAGTACTTAATTATTAGTCCAACCACCACAGTTTAACCCTCGGGGGTCTCAAGGCCAAGCAAATTCGAAAATCGCTACATTTTGTGTTTAGCACAAAATTATAGGAGACGCCCCAACAAAAACCGAAAAGTCAGGTAGGTATAGTATTTTTAATACCTATTTAGAAGTACCAGTCGTTCTAGTGACAAAACGTATGTCGCTTCTTGACACACAAATAAAATAAGGTTAGGAATTTCCTATTTGTACATGAAATTGACGTATTAGCAATCGACGTTCGTTTTTGTTGGTAACTTTTTGTTTCATCTGATTCGTGATTCATAAATAAGGATGGGGTTATTCTAAATGGGTATTACAAATACTATAAATGGGTTCTAGGAAATGACACAATTTTAGTTAATTAGGTACATTCCAACTATATATTTTTAAATCTATCTATATATATATAAAAATTAATGCCACTTTTCGTTGTAATTTTATAACTCAAGAACGGGCTCACCTAGCCAAACCAAATGTTTAGGCTTTGTTCGGACTATTTATTAGATAGTTTATGTGAAGTTTGCACAAAATCGGTCGAGCGGTTCTTCATTTATCACATTTTTTGTAATAAATGAATTATTCAATAAATGGAGGATCATTTTGTTATCATTATTATCTATATATATAAAACACAGTTGTGTTGGTTCTAGCACTTAAAATTCGAGAACAGCTGGACTGATTTTTATGATTTTTGCTTTATTGGATTTGTCTTTGTCCATACTAACATAATGAATCGAAAAAATCCAAAAAAAAAAGACAAAAAACAAAATTACCTATTTTACTTATTTATGAAAAAAGTCACTAAGCCCGCATACGGCGCCATCTCTTATAACCGATACCAAGTTTACCGCCACATTTTCATTGCAAACCATTTTGTATACGGCGCTATCTCTGATACCTAGAACGAAGCTCGCCGTTGCGCGGTAATTTCATTGCAGATACAGTAGAACAATGCTACTCAGGAACTGGAGCTATTCCGAACAGAACTATTCCACTATTCCGATCAGATAGAGTGGTGCAGAAAGAGTAGATCAAATAGAATATTGCGATAGAGTAGAACAGATGGATTAGTGCAGTGCAGATAGAGTGAAACAGGGCTGCGCTGGAGATTTTTTTTGTTTTCTTTACATTCTTTGATCATCCCTGTGCCTGAGTTTATTTATTTGATGGTACACTTTACAAGGTTAATGCCCACAAGCTGCCTAAAAAGGGATGATGTAAAATTTTAATTTTAGGTGACTTCTGATCCAGAGAGTAATTAATTTTTTTCAACCAAAGCCAAATTCACCGTCGAAAAAAACTGAATTTAATTCAGCTAATAGATACGTTCACACAACATTTTATAGGTATTTAATAATTCAGAGGCGGTACGAAGTTCGCCGGGTCAGCTAGTAAATAAAATAAAATTACACTGTTTACATTTCAAAAATAAGGTTAAATTCATAGAGAATCGAGCGAGATCGATGGATTATCGATATCGAATTCTTGAGAGTTGAGAACACAATTTGTAGAGAAATTTCGTGAAGTTAGCAACCGCATGGCAATACTTGAAGAAAGCAGCCAATAGAAAATCTAGGCGCGTGACGAAACCATCCTAAGAATTTTTAATTTCAATTAAAAATTTAAGGCCTTTCCCGGTACCAAAAAAATCCGAAAAAAATATTTCTGGGCTTTATTTTGATTACTCTTTCAGATAAGCAAATAAAAAAAATCGTGGGAAAGACCCATTACTCAAGTCAATCGATACATTTCTTGGCAAACATACGCAAGTATAATAATTATACTTTAATGAATTGTTCATGTTTCCAAATGACTTCGTTCGGTGCAACAAATATTATACGCGAAAATTACATGCCGACTTTTAAAATACAAGGTCAGATTTATCATCGCGCAGGATCGCTACTACCATTGCCGAATGAAGAACACAAATTTCTTCAAATTTATTTCATGGGAGACGCTGATGAACAAATTGATCAACGTTGTCGATTCAATGTTGGAACTAAACGAGAAGTTGTCGCGGCATTACAGACTTGGTTCGATCAACACAACGGATTAATTCGATTATTTAGAACTGCCGTTGAACAAATGCCATTTGAAAGACATTACAATGCACCAACAATTGATGAGGTGGCAATCGTTATAGTTGGCGAATAATTTAGTTCGCGTGATATAATTCTTCATCGCAGAACTGGTGATGTTCAACGAGTATCAGAAACTCATCGCTCATACGACGCATTGCAATATGCGATTTTATTTTGGCAAGGAGAAGATGGATACCATTTCAACATCAAATTGAGAAATCACCAAACAAATGAGGAAACAAATAAGAAAGTCAGTGGCATGAATTACTATTCATATCGATTGATGATTCGTGAAAATGCTGAAAATCACATCGTAAAGTGTCGACAATTATTTCATCAATACATTGTCGACATGTATGCCCAAATTTAAACAGAACGACTTCTCTGCATTCGTCTAAATCAAACAAAATTGCGTTCCGAAGAGTACATTCATTTACGTGATGCAGTTGTTGCCATGATCAATGTGAATCCGAATGAATTGGGAAAAATGGTCATACTACCGGCCACATTTACAGGGAGTAGGGAGTCCACGCCATATGCATGAATACGCTCAAGACGCAATGACATATGTTCGCGCATATGGCCGGCCAGATTTATTCATTACATTCACGTGTAATCCAGCGTGGGATGAAATAAAAGAACTTTTATTACCCGGACAAACATCATCGGATCGCCATGATATTTCTGCGCGTGTGTTCAAACAAAAATTAAAATCATTAATGGACCTTATTATAAAGTATCATGTTTTTGGGGAGACACGCTGTTGGATTTATTCTGTTGAATGGCAAAAAAAGGGATTACCACATGCACACATTTTTATTTGGTTGATTGAAAAAATTACTCCAGACCAAATTGATCAGCTCATCTCAGCTGAAATACCGGATGTGGATACTGATCCATACTTATTTGAAGTCGTAACGAAAAATATGATTCATGGTTTTTGTGGTTTACTTAACAACAATTAACCATGCATGTCTGATGGGAAATGCACTAAACGATACCCAAGAGACTTACTTGCCGAGACTATCACTGGCAATGACGGATATCCACTCTATCGTCGAAGACAAACTGGTGACAAAGATTGTGGCAAATCCATCACTTTGAGAGTACGAAATAATGACGTTGAAGTTGATAATCGTTGGGTTGTACCGTATTCGCCTATACTTTCGAAAATATACAAAGCACACATTAATGTCGAGTATTGCAATTTGGTGAAATCTATTAAGTACATTTGTAAATATGTCAACAAAGGAAGCGATATGGCAGTATTTGGAGTGGGAAATGCATCCCGATCTTCTGATGAAATCAACCAATATCAACTTGGACGGTACGTTAGTAGCAACGAAGCAGTATGGCGCATTTTATCATTTGCAATTCATGAAAGACATCCAACAGTTGTTCATTTGGCGGTACATCTTGAAAATGGACAGCGCGTGTACTTTACAACCGAAAATGCCCGAAAAAGATCATTGACACCACCGTCAACAACATTAACTGCATTTTTCTCATTTTGCGATGACGATATGTTTGGGAGGACGCTACTTTACTCTGAAGTGCCATCATACTTTACATGAAATACATCCGCGAAAAAGCATTGAAATTACCACTTAATATGCAAATTATTGAGTCACCAACATGCAATATCAAAAAAAATTCTGGGATGGGTAAAATACTTCAATCTTGTCAACTCATCATATGGGATGAATGTACTATGGCGCATAAAAAAGCATTGGAAGCGCTTAATCGTACTCTAAAAGATTTGAGAGGAAATGATCAACTCTTCGGTGGTGCACTTATTTTATTATCTGGTGATTTTCGACAAACTCTCCCAGGTATACCACGTTCCACTCCCGCTGATGAACTTAATGCATGTCTGAAATCATCGGTTTTATGGCGACACGTACAGAAGTTGACTTTAAAGACAAGTATGCGTGTACAAATACGGCATGCTGTATTCGCCGAACGTTTCGCAAAACAATTATTAGACATTGGGAATGGCAAAATGGCAATCGATGAAACCACAAAATGCATCACTTTGCCAACAAACTTCTGTACAAACACAGCAACTATAGACGAGCTAATTCACAAAGTTTTTCCAAATATTCGTCAGAACTACACAAATCATTAGTGGCTCAGTGCACGTGCTATATTAGCAGCTAAAAATAACAATGCCATCAATTTCAGAATTCAAAACGAACTGCCAAGCGAAGCGAAAACATATAAATCCGTGGATACTGTGATAAATCCAGACGAAGTTGTCAATTATCCAACAGAATTCTTGAATTCACTCGATTTGCCAGGCATGCCGCCACACATTTTAACATTGAAAATTGGCGTGCCTATCATTCTTCGAAATCTCAATCCACCACGCCTTTGCAACGGTACCAGACCTTCAGTTAAAAAGATGATGAATAATATTATAGAAGCTACAATTTTAAATGGAAAATTTAAAGGAGAAGATGTACTATTGCCACGTATCCCAATGACACCAACAAATATTCCATTCGAATTCAAACGGTTGCAATTTTCGGTGCGACTTACCTTTGCGATGACCATCAATAAAGCACAGGGACAATCACTAGAAGTGTATGGAATAAATTTGGAGAATCCATGTTTCTCCCATGGACAACTATATGTTGCCTGCTCACGAGTCGGAAAACCCTCTTTTTCTTGTAGGTACGCACCAACCGGAACAACAAAAAATATTGTTTATCCAAAAGCACTGCAATAAACAAACTTAAATGAAATATATTTTTTTTTGCATGGCATTGCAACGCATGCCGGGTACAGCTAGTCTATTATAAATTTTCACTGTTGTAACAATATAACTGTTTGTGAAGTTTTCACCTTTTAGTAACGGTACTGTTGAGAAACAATTATTGTTCTTCAACTGTATTTTTAACAAAGCTTTATATTGTTCTATACTCTACAAAATCAATTGTGCAATTTGTCGATTCTTTATTTCAATTTTCATAGCCCGTAAAAATACAAACCACAAACTGCGTCATGTTTGGGATAAAATAACTAAAATTTCAAAACTCCCATCGTGTCTGTTTTTAGAGATTTTAACATTGAAAATGTTCCTGTTATCCTAGTATAGGAGCCCAAATCGCGAAAAAGTGTATGCTACATGTGCCACATGACGTCACATCATCAATCAAAATCATATAAACTTTGCATTTTACTTCATCATTTTCAATGTTCGTCCGACATCTTTGCGAAGGATTGTGAATTTTTTAAAGCAAAACAAATCCAGTTTCATAAATTTTAGCAAATCTGCCGATGAATTATTTCTTTCTGGAATGGATCCTTGGGGATATTTAATTCACATATGTATTAAGGACACGAAACCTGTCTGCTTGAAGTTATTCATTCATGTTATTATTATCAACATTGATTTTTTCATGATTGATTGCCTTTCAAAATATTTTATATAAATTTGTTTGAAGGGAATAGGAAATACTTATGAAAAACTCCCTCAAAACTTTATTACCCTCTATTTACAAAATTAAAAAGACAAATTGCAAGCAATTCATTATCTCGACTGAAATATTTCACAATCTCTGGAGACTTTGTACAGTTTTTCCGTTTTTCTTGCCATTTTTATTCCAGACGAAAAAATCCTTTACAATAAAAGGCCAGAGAAAAGTGCCTCGAGAAGTTCGAGGTGCTTCAGAAATTGTAGACATTGTGTTATTCTATTGACGTTGCCTTTTTCGAATATAACCATATTTTTGTAAAAATATTCTTAGTTCGTCTCGACTTTAGAATTCTGTCTCCAGACATTCTTCGAGACCACAAATATGGATTTAAAGCTGGTTTGAGGATAGAAGAAAGGATGTCTTTTTGTCAAGCCTGAAGTTATATTTAATTTGAATGCAATTAAAAGTAGGCTTTCTCATTTATTTGAAAGGTAATGGGTACAGTTTAATGACTGAAGGACAAAAAATCAATTGTGAAATAATTTCATTATTTCTGCACTTATGACAATCACAAAGCTAACCGCGCTAAACTGATGCCCTCCCAATTTCAATCAATTTGGCCAGGAAAAGTACCTACGACTTATGAGAATATATAAATACGTACGTCGATTGAAGACTTTTATACAGAAACAGTGAAATATTGCCTTTTGCGACAATCCTGCAAATAGGTTCAGAATGAACTATAGTCAGCATCCGTACAAGAGCAGAAATAAATCATAAACGTCCGACATAGACGTTATTCTAGTAAAATTTAAGTCAAAAAGCATACATTTTAGAATTTAAAATTTTCGTTGCTGCTTTTATAAAGAGGTTTTATTTAGATTTAGACGTATTGAAATATGAATAAATAATATGACGTAAATACAAAACTAATACCACTGTACAGGATGATCTATTATAAATATCACCCCCTCATAACTTTTTCATTTGACGTTTTTGACAAAAGTGTCACATTCAAAATTTTTGAGAAATCATGAAAAGCTTTTAACTGAGTCAGTTTTAAGCCTACAGGGTGCGTCACAAAAGTGTAGTAGTAAAAGTTATATTCTTTTGAATGAAACACCATGTGTGGGATCCAAGAAGAACGAATAAAATCACCACCAAAAATAAACTCGAAAACGCATCTATTGCATAATATAAAATACACTTATGGTGGGCTCTTCACATTGAATATTAATTCTCTACCGCGCACGCTAAAAACAAGACATTGACAATCTATATTTTTTTACATTATAGGTATAGGTAGGATTGTAGGTATAAATCCGCGTGTGGCTAAATTCACCAAAATGGTGCACCGCCACGGATGCGGTGATTACGGTTCACTAATGCCAATGCCAAACCACAGCTTGCCAAACCCTGTTTAATTTAACAACACTGGTTCTTCTACCATTCCACCACGGTGTCTACACCAGCTGAATTTAGCCACACGTGGTTTATCCGTTCACAATCCGATGTCCACAGGTACAGGTAAAATTTATCACCTTTCAATGCTATTTGATAGGGAAAGGTCATAAATTTACCTGTACCTGTGGACATCGGATTGTGAATAGGATATAGGTAGGTTTTCGACATTCTCCCACCTGAGTAACTTAACTCACTATACAAAAATTCTTTTCTCATCACAAAAAAAAAATAAAAATTAACTTAACTCACTATACAAAAATTATTTTCTCATCACAAAAAAAAAAAAAAAAATGTCAACAGTCCTCTATCTAGTCCATATACCGTCCCGGTAGCTTTATCACTCGGCCACCTCACGTAGTTTTTAAGGCGGATACTCTGCTTTGAACACTCCCGTTTACCACGATAGATCCCCATTTCTACAGATGTCCCAGTCTCCTCTAAGGTATACACTCTCTGCACAGGGCTTAGCAACATTCCATTTCCACAAAAGACTCAGTTGACAGTGAACTGGCTAGTTCCAGGTGCACCGCTCTATAAACGGCACATGTAAAAATACAGATCCAGATCTTTTCACCTATCTTTAAGTATAAAGGATCAGCAAAGTCCACACCTGTGACTTCAAAAGCTGATGCATCTCTAACTCGATCTGCAAGGAGAGGTGGACTCTGGACTTGGCTACTCTTGGATGCCCGCCTCCGACACACTACACAATATTTGGAAATTACAGTTTTGATGTGCTTTCGTCCACCCAATATCCAGTACTTTTTTCTGAGTAAGCTCAATGAACCCTGGACTTTAACATGACAAGACTTCCTATTGGTATCAAAAACGAGCCGCTCAATCACAACATGACGAGATGGCAGTACTATCGGCATGTAAAAAAATTCGGTATCTTCACGATTTACTATACGAGACTTCAAACGTACAATGCCAGAATCCTCCCAAAATGAGTGCAAAGTTTTCAGGCGTTGATCATTTTTAGAAAAACTTTCTCTTTGTACAGTCCGCAAAACGAAAATTTCCGCCCGGTTCATTACTTCAGCGGATAGCTCACCATCGCGTTTATCCTCTAGAAGTCTCACATTATGTACGAATCTGAATATCTGACCAATCATACGAATATCATAATATCCGTTCACAATCCGATGTCCACTGATACCGGTAAAATTTATCACCTTTCAATGCTATTTGATAGGGAAAGGTGATAAATTTACCAGCACCTGTGGATATGGGATTGTGAACAGGATATACAGTGAGGGGCAAGCTACTAGGTATATAGGATGTAACCTGACGAATTTGCAGGCGTCCGCATGTCAGAAAATGACAAATCGATTTAGCGCTAACCTGGCGACAACCAAGTAAAAAGTTTCTATAGTACGGGATACGAGGCCTATTTCATCAAATCATTTTACACCGTCTTGCATTGTTATCATCAGTTAGATAAAATGGTACTGAAACGCACTTGTGCAGGGAAATAGATGGGAGTGGGGGATTTCGCTGAAAAAAATGTTTCAGAAAATGTCGTCATAATTTAGGAAAATATATAATTATACACCGTCTTGCATTTATTTATTGAGTCAGTTTGTACACAAACAAAATTGAATTACCACATGCAAGACGTTTTTATGGGGGTTTTAGGGTTCCAATAGAAGATGGAAATTGTCAATTTGTGAGAGGGGTGGAAAATC